GGAATTGTTTGGAATTTTTGGAAATTTGGGGCAGGTTTAAGATTTCTGGGACTCAAAAATAGTATCGTGAGTTCTGGACCTTTGAAAGTCCCTAAGGTTTCATGTGAAAGGTTGGTCCAGGGGGGGGCTAGCATATATATATATATATACACACATCAGCATATATGTATATATATATATATACACACGCACATTTAGGGGTATTGGTATGTCTGGGTTTTGAGGGTATGAGCATGTTGGGCAACGGGCTAAGGATTCGAGGTTCAGGAATCGGGTTGCCGTCTGTCTGCTTGTTGTGGGGTCAACATGAGCCCAAGTACACTGTGATAAGGGTTGGGGTTTAGGGTGTCAAACATGGGCCCAAGTATACTGTGTTAAGGGTTTAAGGTGTAGGGGGACTACACTGTGATAAGAGTTTAGGGCTTAGGGGTCAAGCATGAGCCCAAGTATACTGTGATAAGGTTTTAGGGTTTAGGGTTTAGGGGGTCAAGCATGAGCCCAAGTCTATTGTGAGGAGGGTAACATGCAAGACCGCAGCTAACACGAGACGTCTGAATCGTAGACCCTTTGGGCCCATGACCCCAACACGAGAGACCTCTAAGCTCTATAAACCCGAATCCCAAAAGCCGACACAAAACAGCTTGGTCTAGGGGCCTAAGCATAATTGCCACTACTATGATGGGGGGTTAGCAATTATACTGGACCCCAAAACCCTATTCTAATTATCAAGGCCCCTATTTAAACACACAGCTTGCATACAAGACCGTAGGTGGACTTCTGGGAGACGGTGCTCCAGGGCGCAGCGGCACCAGAATTTCGGTGCATGCAGCGCCTGGGGCGGTGATTTTAGGGTTTGGGGTTTAGGGTTTAGGGGTAGTTGTGCTCATTATCATGTTGATGCTATGAGTCTTGCGATCTGCATTCACTCGTACTTTTGGTAGTCGTAATGTTATCCTGCTGCCGCCGCCGCCACTCCTGCTCCTGCTCCTACTCCTACTACTATTACGACTACTACTACTGCTGCTACTCCTACTGCTGCTGCAGCTGCTGCTATTGCTACTTCTGCAACGACTTTTAGCAACAAATACTACTACTACTACTACTACTACTACTACTACTACTCCTACTGCTATCGCTACTGCTACTGCTACTGCTACTACTCCTCCTCCTCTACTACTACTACTACTACTAGTACTATACTACTATTACTGCTACTACTACTAGTATTACTAGTACTACTAGTACTGCTACTACTACCACTACTACTACTACTACTACTAC